TCTTCCTTTTGTTAAGTTGTATGAGTTCCCTATAAATTTTGGAGATTAAACCCTTATTTGAGATAACATTAGCAAATATGTTCCCCCATGTAGTGGGCTTTCTTGTTGTTTTGTTGATGGTTTCTTTTGCTGTGCAGAAGCTTTTTATTTTGATGTAGTCCCATTTGTTTATTTTCTCCTTAGTCTCCATTGCCCTAGGAGCTGTATCAGTAAAGATATTGCTATGACATATGTCTGATATTTTGCTGCCAATGGAGTCTTCTAAGATTTTTATGGTTTCCCATCTTGCAATTAAGTCCTTTAACCATTTTGAGTTTATTTTTGTGTATGGTGTAAGTTGGTGATCTAGTTTCATTTTTTCCATGTATCAGACCAATTTTCCCAGCACTATTTATTGAAGGGACTGTCTTGACTCCATTGTATGCTCTTGCCTCCTTGTCAAATATTAATTTAGCATAATGACTTGGGTCAATTTCTGGGTTCTCTATCCTAGGCCATTGGTCTGTTCATGTGCCAGTAGCAGGCAGTTTTGAGAACAGTGGCTTTATAATACAGCTTGATATCTGGTGTTGAGATCCCTCCAACCCTGTTCTTTCTCAGGATTACTGTGGCTATTTGGGGTCTTTTTTATTTCAGATGAATTTTTGGAGAGTTTGTTCTAGGTCTGTGAAATATGCCGTTGGTATTTTAATGGGGATTGCATTGAATCTATAAATTGCTTTGGGTAGTATGGACATTTTAATAATATAGAATCAATATCATTGTTCAATCCTTGAACACGGTATGTTCTTCCATTTGTTTATGCCTTCCTCTATCTCGTTTTTCAATGTCCTGTAGTTTTCTGCGTATAGGTCTTTTACCTCCTTAGTTAAGTTTATTCCTAGATATCTTAACTTTTTTTGCTCCAATGATAAATGGGATTTTTTTTTCAGTTTCTCTTTCTGTGCGTTCATTATTGGTGTATAGAGAAGCCATAGACTTTTGGATGCTAATTTTTTATCCTGCTACATTGCTGAATTCATTTATTAAGTTTAGTAGTTTTTTGATGGCATCTTTGGGGTTTTCTATGTACAATAGCATGTCATCTGCAAATAATGACAGTTTTATTTCTTCTTTTCCAAATTGGATGCCTTTTATTTCTTCTTGTCTGATTGCTATGGCTAGCACTTCCAGTACTATGTCAAACAGCAATGGTGAAAGTGGGCATCCCTATCTTGTTCCTGTCCTTAGGGTAATGGTTTTAGTTTTTGTCCATTGAGTATGATGTTGGCAGTAAGTTTGTCATATAAGGCTTTTATTATGTTGAGGTATGATCCCTCTATTCCCACTTGCTGAAAGTTTTTATCAAGAAAGGGTGTTAGATTTTGTCAAATGCTTTTTCTGCATTGATTGATATGATTGTGTGATTTCTATCTCTCAATTTGTTTATGTGATGTATCACATTTATTGATTTGTGGATATTATACCAACCTTGCATCTCCAGAATAAATCCCACTTGGTCATGGTGTATGATCTTTCTAGTGTAATGCTGGATATGATTTGCTGGAATTTTGTTGAGGATTTTAGCATCTATGTTCATCAAGGATATTGGCCTGTAGTTCTCTTTCTTTGTGGTGTCTTTATCTGATTTTGGGATTAGGGTAATGCTGGCTTCATAGAAAGAGCTTGGAAGTGTGCCTTCCTCTTGAATTTTTTGGAATAGTCTGAGGAGGATAAGTTTCAGTTCTTCTTTGAATGTTTGTTAGAACTCCCCTGCAAGCCGTCTGGATCAGGGCTTTTTTTGCTGAAAGATTTTTGATTACTGCTTCAATTTCTTCGGTAGTTATTGGTCTATTCAGGTTGTTTTATTCTTCCTGATTGAGTTTTGGAAGCTTGTATTTTTCTAAGAATATGTCCATTTCATCTAGGTTATCCAGTTAAATATATTTTTTAAATTTTTAAAAATTGTAAGCATTTCACTTGACCTTATCAAAAGAAGACATACAGTGGGAAATATACAGAATAATATAATCCCCCTCTTTGAGAAAGATATGAAATCAGAAATATGAATCTTCTTTTAGAAAGAAAATCAGTTTAAATTAAGGGTTACTATGCTTTGTTTATTCAGCTGCTATGCTGTAAAATATCTTTGGCTGTTCAAGTAGAAGAATTATAACCCGGTGAGCCAAACAAAGAGTCTTAGTTTACTAGCTCATCAGTTCTTAACACATTGTGGACGGACCACGAGAATTCTCATGTTTTCTCTTCTCAGGCTTGTGGCCAATCATGAGATTTCTTGGCTTTTCATAGTTGTCATTTAGAAAGAAACAGTGTAATGGAAAATGCATTCACTGAAGTTAAAAATTAAAAAAGGAATTAAAAGTGATTAGTCTCTTGTCATTAGTAATAACAATAACTGTTTTTATATCAATTTGATATTTTTAAAGTGCTCAGTAACCATGGATAGTGACGAAGAACATGATAAAATTTTGGATATATTTGCTGACAATTTATCAGATATTCTAAGTGAAAGTGATGAAAGCTTTGACAGTGGTAGTGATATAGTTATTCCTTCAAAAAGGCGAA